ACACAATTACAAAATGGTTGTATGTCGTCATAGTTTCTGTAAAACATATTTTGTCATTGATAGTAAAAGAATGTAATTAATTGCCAAACTTTCTTTGCAGACATTTTGTTCCAATCATCTTCTGCAACTATACTAATCTCTTCTTTTACTTCATAAAATACTATTTTAAATACCTTTTACTGACAACTCACCGTTACTCCCTACTTTTATGTTATCAATAATCTGGTTTTCAATACTGGGTGTTATTCCCATTTTATACAACACAAAAAATATATGAAAACGGATATGTAAATATAAACTAAAAGAAAAAAAAACGTCACTCGCTCTTGAATTCTTAAGGGAGAATAAACCAATTACAGACAATCTTTGTTTTAAAATGTCGCATGAAAATTTTCTCTCACATCTGATCATCACGGAATAAATTCAAAATTCAGTGTGCAATTCAATTTTTTTTTTCATGTAACAATTCAAGATCGAGCGCAGAACCTCTCACAAGCCACGAGAGTTCTGATTAATCAAATGAATTAAATAATTTGCACTGTTAGATAATCCCACTGAGGCTTCTTTTTAAAACTACTCAGACTACGACATAATGAAATCGTGACATTTGCCTGTCTGTGCATTTTTTTTAACTGCCAAAAATTATAATACGTTTCAAAAAACATTTTTCTTCTTAGATTTCAGCAGAATTAACAATGATACGTTATTCATCATCACAACCTCAGTTCCACCTTCAACACTAAACGTGATTTTTAGATATTTCACTGATGTTTGGTTATGTATATACACATCGCATTTAAAAAAAGCAAAAAACAACAACAAAGCACCTTTACATGGGGATTCTACACGATCACCTATATAGGGTAGGTTAAATATTTGTGTATTTATGACAAAGCTACTAAGGCTAAATCTGCCCCTGTCCCTAATTTTGAGCTACCAACTACAGGGAAGGCAAGCCCTTGCAACATCCACCACCAACTCTCGGGCTACTATTTGCCAACGAATAGTGGGAGTAACCGTAACATTATAGCGCCACCACGGCTGAAAGGGCGAGCACGTTTGATGCCAGGTTTCGGTCCCGCTACTCACAAATTGCAGGTCAAGCGCCCTAGCCACCAGGCCCCGGTTAAATATTTACAACTTCGAGGAACAATTTCACTCGTGTATAAACTGTTGCCATTAACTTCTGATCAGAAAAAGCTACCTAGATAGAATTAACAAATAAAAACTATCCCAGAAACGAATATAATTATAATTTAAAAAAAAATTATTTATAATAATTAGAATGAATTGACTAATTACTTGAGTATTCTCGCTATTAGCGATATTTTCGGGTGCAATGTTCTTCGATCTAGAGAACAGCTCATCACCTTATTTTGTAACTCATTCACACAAAATTATTAAAATTTCACTGTGTGGTGAAATAATGGTAAAGTATGTTGATTTTTTTTTTTTACATCACTTTTCCATTTGGCATTCATTCAAATTAGCCAGTTAACTGGAATTCTATTGTTAATCTCTGACTAAAGAGTAACCAACCGGGTGTTTATATAAACTGCAGCGGAGACAGGTCAAGGTTTTTATTCATTATCATCTATCAATGCTGTGTTTTGCTACAACCTCAGAATATCAATGTAAACCGCGATATGAGACCTTAGCTTGGATAGAGTTAGCTTGCTTTGTAGAGAACAGTAAGGAAGCCTTACGAATATGTACGTGTAAATCCCGTCTTCCAGCTAGCCTGAACTCGCTATACATTTTTGTTTTGGTTCACTTCTTTACACAATGACATTATTAGAAATGAAACATGTTGGAACGAAATTTGAATTATTATTCATCAAAGAACGTTTGGCGAGATCGTTTCATCATTCATGATGATGATCATAGAGTTAAGTATCTCTCCCCCACTCAATTTCTATTATGAGGAGAAAACCACCTACACAAGACTTTAAAATTATTAGTTAGATTTATATACCACCTGTGTATTTAAAAGGTTATTTATGTCAAATACGCTTTGGTACATATATCATATGAAGCAAGTGACGTTTTGCTTCTGAACTGTTTGCGAGACTATGTGTTCGAATTAAGGGAAGGGCAGGATTGCACTAAAAGCTACAAGAATACTATTCAAGGATATGACCCTAAAAAATGTGGTTTGTTTGTTTTGTATTTCGCGCAAAGCTGCACGAGGGCTAACTGCGCTATCCGTCTCTAATTTAGCAGTGTAAAGACTAGAGGGAAGGCAGCTAGTCATCACCATCCACCGCCAACTCTTGGGCTACTCTTTCATCAACGAATAGTGGGATTGACCGTCACGTTATAACGCCCCCACGTCTGAAAAGGCGAGCATGTTTGGTGTGACGGGGAAGTGAAAAAGTGAAGAAAAAATCAGTGTTTACACAGTGTAATATCACATAAACATGATTCGAGAATAATATTTATAGCATTTGCTACATTTTTAAAAATAGTCATGGAGGGAGGAAGAACCTGACCCTCCCAGGTCGTCCAACGACTGAATACCGATCCAAAACAAAAAGTTCGCCGAAACCATTGTCTCCTACATACGAGCTGAGATTCATAAAGTGCACGATGCCATGAATAACAGCGTTAATTAAGCAAAATCTTTCCAAACTATAACCGATATATATATATAGCGAAATTCAATCGAAAATATTGAAAAATTTGACAACGTATCTCAGAAGCGATTATACTGCGTGTAGTTTGGCTGAACGTTATCCTGTAAACAAATAATTTCCTTAAGAATGCATGTTAAAACTAATAATTCCCGACACATTCACCTTTGAACCTGTTTGTTTTAACGCAAAGATACACAATGAGTTATCTGCACTGTGTCCACCGCATGGATCGAATCCCGAACGTTTTCCGTTATAAGGTTAACATCTTCATGCATAAACGAAGAATTGCAAATAATTATGTACATAAAATGTTGTGAGAAACTTTCTACGAATCATAATTTTGGTACACTTTTTTTTTCTTCTTTTCTTTACTAAGTGAATATTCAATATAGAAGCTCGTTAATCATTACGACTTGTTCTATAAAACATTTGTTTGCTATTATTTTACATGCCGGAAGTAATGAAGTAGTTCAGCTGTAGAGAGTGGAACCACCTCCGTCGTTTCGTATTCATTATTTTCCTTTATTCCACTTCAGTTGTTAGTTCATCAGTGCATGATCCGGTGAGAAAGATTCACCTTTCCACTAGTAAAACACACCTTAGCTACAAAAGGTTTGTAGAACCAGTCGCATGGTAAGACGGGTTTGCATTTCAATGTTAGACAATAGACTTCTACGGAGTAACTAACTATACATTTGATAAAATACTGAGTAAATTTCAAAATTTGTTTTTCTTTTCTCGGCATTTCTTATTTACAACAAAGGTAATTTTCCAAACAATACAGTAATCAGTAGATAAATACCCATTGTTGCTACAGTAATCAGTAGATAAATACCCATTGTTGTTACAGTAATCAGTAGATAAATACCCATTGGCTACAGTAATCAGTAGATAAATACCCATTGTTGTTACAGTAATCAGTAGATAAATATCCATTGTTGTGAGCAATCCAATAAAAAAATCTTAGGTGAAGACATCTACAATTCTTTTCATTCGTCTTCATTTATGAATAAATAAAAATTGAACTTTATATTCAATCTACTCAACGATATCACGAAAACGAGTTTTATAAATGTTTACATTTCTATCTCTATACGTAGTTTGTTTGAATATATCGCAAACGTGAAATTTTTTCAAGTTCTGCTTAAGAAAATTTGTAAAATTAGCCTGGTTAGCCTGTGAAAATGAGATTCCATGGTTCGCCCCCCCCCCAAACATTACTCCACACTTTTTGGGCTGTGGGTGCGTTATAAGTGCGACAGTCAAATCACACTATTCAGTATGACGTGAGTGTAGTCCAAAGTGGCGGTGGGTGTTGTTGTCTGCCTTCCTTCTAGTTTATCAGATCACAATTAAGCACGAGTAGCGCAGATAATCCCCGAGCGGTGTTGCGAGAAATACAATAACCAAATTTCCTTAATCAGATCACAGATTTCTGTTCATGTGTAGCGTAATTTCTCACGAATTGTTTTTAGGTTGTTTCTTATCTATACAAGATATAGTTCGTTTCAATAACCAAACGTTATTACTGTGTCCACAACCCCTAAAAACCCAGTTTAAATTAAGTACATTATACTGTTTTGTGGTTAACACGCAAACAGGGAGTCAATAAAAAAAAAAGGAAGGAAATCCTGAGTTACAGTTTGACCTTTCAAATATCTGAGATGTAGCAATTCCATGTATCCGTTCTATATAAAACCATCACTTAATCACTCTGTCAGTTTAGACTATTTTTTTCTTTACTTTAGTTTTATGCCTGACAAACTATTTAATTATTCTACAGACTTAGAAGCTTAGGAACTTACAGCCTGCCAACTTCGTTTTTTTTTATGTTTAATTCTTCTATCTTGGGTAAATGTACCTAAAGCATATAAGTATCAAGTTTTAAGGAAACATTTCCAAATACCCTTTTCATCGTGAAAGGATACACACATCTATACAATAAAGTTAAGGAAAATTTTGCATTTACCACTAAAGTAATTTCTGCTGAACAACTATTTGAGGGTGCGTTATGTTCGAATTTCGCGCAAACCTACTCGAGAGCTATCTGCGCTAGCTGGCCCTAATTTTAAAGTAATAGACTAGAAGGAAGGCAACTAGTCAACACCATCCACTGCCAACTCTTGGGCTACTCTTTTGCAAACGAATAGTGGGACTGACTGTAACATTATAATGCCCCCACGGTTGAAATGGCAATCCTGTTCGATGAAAGGTTTCGATCCCGCGACCCGCAGATTACGAATCGAGCGCCCCAACCACCATGTTATGCCAAGCTCCAGTACGAAGCTTTTACAAAATATAATTAAATGTTCTAATCACCATTATGGTATACGGGTACAAGAAAAATAATGGAGAAATACATACTTTGATTTTGTTGCAATTTCTTTTAGAATTGTATAACCAGCATTTTACAGGCTGAAACTACCTTAGACAACATCGGAGCACATCATATATTCGTATAACCGACACGTACACAGAAAGACGACAAACTGGTAAAACTACTATAAATGATTGCTTTTTCTACGCCAACACAACCCTGGAGACGGAGTTTGGTTCTCAGAATATGTTAAGAGTGATATGATTGGTCAGCAGACATGCTACGATTTATACGAAAACAAAAGTGATAATGTTAAATGTCAACTTTTTTTTTTTCGGTTCGGGAACTGAAAATCACAACAGATTATTCTCCATTTTGTTCCATCTTATCTGACCTGAAGGAATTGATAAGCATATCTATTTCTCAAGTAATTTGAAATTTTCCGGTCGAGTTAGTAAAATAAAATTATTTAATACACTAAAACTATGTAAACTAGTTTTTGGTTATGCATAAGAAAATACTTGCACGACACGCATTTTTCAAACCAAAAGCAGAAGAAAATCCTTAACTGGAGACACAAACGTGCATATCTAAACTTGAACGATTTATATTTGTTGCTAACTGTAATAACATTTCCATATTAAATAATTCTCACGTACTTGGCGTTATTCGTATCGTGCTTTGTTTCTCGTGAAGTCATACTTTTTCTGTGTTATTAAATACATACTGTAAAACATTCCATTATTGGATAACTATAAACGCGATGTATTTGTAGATATAATACAGATATACGCATTGGTTCAGTCAATTCGTTTAAATTATTAAGATTCCACTCGGATTGTAAAATGTCATGGGTTAATGTTTCATTCAAGTCCTCGTTTGACATTTTAAATAAAGAAAAAGCACATGCAAGTAGGCCTATACACACACGTGCTTAATAAACTATAGGGATGTTTAACTAACTGGGGCACATCAGTTTATAGAAACAGTTAAAGTGAAAAACGGGAAGTCAGTTTTGACAAGTCATTAGCTATGTTCGTCAATACAATGCAGGACAGAGAAAATCGTTTAACACAGAACCTCCAGCCTTGTTAGCCTCAGCGAAAAACCTTTACAATATGCATTTGAGACCACAACCGAAGTGGAAACGGATGTGCGATAATACACTGCAGAATGAAAACATAAATGGAAAATACACACACAGTCAGAGCCCCAATTATCCAAGCATCAAGATGAAGGCTAAATCATAAAAGGAAGTCGTACGTCCAGCAAATGGGTATATATCGTTTATGGGGCCAACTTTCAACATCTAGAATACAAGTTTATATCGAAGTTCATATATCTATATAAACTCACTGTGAAAGTCTAACAAGCGCCTGAGAATAAAGTTGTTGTTTTTTATATAGAATACACAGAATAGTAAACAAACACTTATATTACACGATTCCTTTGTTAAACAATTCGCATGTTACTGTAATGCACATTTTATACTGGAAAAAAGTATTGTATAGTGCATTTCTTCGACACTGTTACGTTCATTCTAACGTAACAGGATGAATATCGGTGATATTCAATTAATGATGTTCTTTCTTAAACCTAATTTTTTGTTAATATGATTTTTTTTCGTACGTGTACAAGTAATTTAAAACATCTTTTGAAGCTCTGCTTCAATAGCCTTATACTTTTATATGGATTTTTCAGACTTATCATTGGCGGGCGTATTAGGTACACAATGAACTATACAACCCCCCCCCCTCCCCTTTTAAGCCCTTTTTATACCTCCTACAATAGGGTGTAACTGGTGTAATAGTTTTTATTTGTATGGTGTCTTTCACTAACCACAGTGAATCTTTATTTATATACGAGTTGAAGAACATGTGGCACTGATATGCTACTAATTTGTTTTCTAAATCACTCGCCAGATAAACTTATGATATTAAAGAGGTCTTACCCTTTATGTCTAATTGAGTTTTCCGTTTTTCTGTATAATAACAATCGTAGTTTTTACATATTTCGTTTAAAGGTTTGTTCATATTTGATAAGAAAACGCACTATATAATAGACCTGTATTTAGCTTTCCATATAGCATACTTTCATATATCAGTTCATGAGATTTAATACTCTGTTCAAACCTCTGCCTAGAATTTAATCTAAGTTTCAGTTCTATTGGGTGGAATGGAGGGTTTGTACAAGGTTATTATTCAATGTGAAATAGATTTTTTTGAATTACTTAATATCCAGCCCGCAACTTTGGATCTGCACATACTCCAACTCTGGCTGATTTAATCCCGAGAATACAGTGAATCATTCCTACAGATTTAGCCACAAATATTAATAGCCACAGAACCGTTAAACATTAACCAATAGCTTCAAAAATCCAAGCAAATCTCTGTTGAAGGTCATAGAATTTTCAATGGAATTTCGTATAATATTCAATCATGGTAAAAAAGTGCTTTATATAAGCACCTGAAACTTCTATATATTATACCTAAAGGACTTTAAAAATCTTTACTCCTTCCCTTCCCAAATCCTTACTAAAAACTTGAAGTTACATCTTCAGCATACACATAGACATTGCAGGCCTCATAAACTGACACAACAAAAATAAGGTTTGTTAAGAAAAAATAATTAATTAGCTGTTGCTTTATTATATAAATAGACAATTAAACATTACTTATACCGAAATGCTAATTTTGAGTCGCAAAAACAGCACATCTTACTTGCATTTTGAAGCATATATTAAATTACTAGTAATACTAATGTTAGGCATGACAAAAAATATTAATCACTAGATTTAATTATTCGTCTTAGGCTATTACTAATGGTATCGTGCATATTACTGTAGCGTAAAGTATGCTAGGCCTAATCTACACCTATATCTACTTCGAGTTAGTCTGGGTTAGACTGTTTATGCTAGAACCATCACCTTTCTGAACTTTAAACCTTGAAACAGGAAATTCAAACCATAAGCACGAAAACAGGTGAAAAAGCTGAACTTAGATTAAATGGATCGCGTTGAAGTGCAAATACTGCAAAATAATCATGCATTTATTATCAGTGAAAAATATACAATAAATTCACCATTTCCAGCAGAAACTAATTACTTGAATAAAGAATGTAGGGTACGCTACTTCTTTCTCTGATGGGAATAAATGACTCATATTTGTTCCCTAAAGCAATGTTCAAGGAGTTAAAAGACACGAGAGTACCTTACACTAACCGGATTTAAGGTACAAAGACTTTCACAGTTGTCGAATAAATTGGACATCAGCTTATTCCTGGAATACTTTCAAGGTCTATAAAGGACTAAATCCTGTAAATACTTTATACTTGGTTTTGTAAAGGAGCTCGGCATATCTGAAACTGACACTCAGTGTGAAAAGTACTTCATTATAAAAACAAGAGCAAGTATAAAGAAGTCAAAGCTCACTAGGCCTAGTAGTATTTTTTTTTTACATCAGACTCGCTACTATCCTATACTGTTATTAATAAAGGTGTGGCGATACAGCGATACGATTTATGCATCTTCACAAATTTGGCCAGCTTTCAGTAAAAATTATAAGTCTTTTGTAAAGAAAAAATCAGAATTTTTTTTCTAATAAAGTATCTTTGCTAAAAATTAATGATTCAATAAAGGAAGATGAGTATTGAGTACTGCATGTTGCCTTCATTTCTTTTATCTAAAACATTACACGCAAAGAAACATAAATTAACACTAACAAAATAGATACATATAAACTTTTTTTTTTACCTCTCTTGCCAGATGCCATTTAGTTGATCAAACCTGATAAATTGAAAAAGCACTGTAAAGTGTGAAGTACTTAAATAAGACAATGCTAGTAATATAGATAATGAATTACAGACAAACTTTGTAACAAACCGTTTGTAAAACTTCTGTATGTAGATACGTATCGTATCCACTACTATGACGAGATACGCACCCCTAGTTATTAATACTACAACTACTGACTATTCTTCTACCAATTAGCTTCTAACTGCAACAAACCAAAGTATTACTTCAACATTTACTGTCATTTAGTACCGGTATATGCTAATGCAAAAATCTGGTCCAAGCAAACACTATCATCACATAGAATTCTGATACCGGCTACATAAAATATTTTCATCGTGAATGCGTGGGTCTCAGTCTTTCGAAACAAAATGGCTGTTCTCTGGTTCGAAATGAAACCAACTGGTGAAGTTGGGTGCATAATTGAAAAGAGAAAACTTATGTTTTATAATGTTTGATATGATTATTATTATTTGACACTTTGTACTATACTTTTAGTACTTTTTTGATGAGCGACAAGATGTTTTCACGACACGGGTTACTTTTTACGTTATATTCTTTCAATGCGAAATTCTGTGAAACGTGTTACATGAACGTTCTGTAATTACTATAAGCATATTTTACCACCTGGGTAATTCCAACGTTCTCGTCTCCGTGTGAAAATTCTTTTTTCACGTCTGAAGTATATATTACACGAAATAATCAAATTATTGAATCATGTATATTATACTTTATTGATTACACGATTACTAAAATTGATGTATTTATAATACATTACATAATAACAATTTTCTTAGGGAGAAAAATTCTGTATTTCTAATAAATTGGACTTTATTATTATTATTACGTTTCAAGAAGTTTGTTTGAAGTTAAGCACAAAGCTACACATTGGGCTATCTGTGCTCTGCCCATCACGGGTATCGAACCCCGGATTCTAACGTTGTAAGTCCGCAGACATACCGCTGTGCTACTGGGGGCGTTTGAAGAAGTAAGCTTGCACTGTATATAATATTAAATTTTTGAATTTAAAATACTTTGTTGTTATGCGTAAAGCTACATAAAGTATAATCTGCTCTCTTCCCACCGCAAGGATCAAAAATCCGATTTTTAGTGTTATAACCTCACAAACTTACAGTTTAGCAACCAGGGGAAGGAAGGAAGGGGGGTAGAATACATAATACCAGTTTGAAATTCTAGAGTATATGCTTATGAAAACAAAATATATTTCCTCTATTCATTCTGCTTTATTATAAGATGGAATTGTATATAATAGAATGAACGTTATGCTGCTAAATAACTGCTTAACTTTCAATTGCCTAAGAAAAAGGCAAAATTGAGAAACTGAAATGCAAACGCTGCGTA